TTAGCAAAACTATTCTGCTTCAGATGGGCCTGCTGCAAAAAATCCTAAAGCTGAGAAATGAAGAGGAAGCTACATGGGGATGATGATAACAGAAGAAAACCATTCAGAAGCATGGAGAGATGATAAAGTAGATAAGGATGAATAGCAAAGAATTTAATGGGCTAATTCAGCTGTCAGTTGACTTTGTGATGGTTGTTACAGCTAAGCAGTCTTCTTTTAATTTTCATGCATTTAATGTCATATCCAGAAATTCTTACAATGTTACAGAAAAGCCTTAATAAGCCTTTTCAGCTGCCTAGCATCATTCTTCTGATCTACTAGATGTTTTCAGAAATGTTACTTTTCCTAATGAGGTTCAGAATTTTCCCTGTACTTCTGCTCAATGCAGTTTCCTAGAACCACCTTGAATTTCAGACTTGCAGATAGAGACAATCAGGTAGAATTAATTTTTATTGTTCCCTGATTTCCCATTTCCCCCTACACCCTTTGTCAAGTGAGAAGCTGTGCTCTTAGAATTTCTTCTGAAGCCTTGTTTCCTTCAAGAAAAGCATTTCTTCAAATGCTGCTGTTGTGTATAGAAAACTCTGAAGCTGGAGGCAGTGATTTTGGATACATATATTTTTAGATAGGAAATCAATTTTTGGCTTCAGTCTTAAGGGAAACTGATTTAAAGAATCTGAACCAGTTCTCTTATTTCATAGCTTCCAAAGCATGGCTGATTTCATACAGTTTGAATACTAAAAGCATTACCAAAACCAAACAAGCAGTCGTCTCCTCTGAACCCTACCCCGTAATAGTATCCAAAGGAAAAAAGTAGGATAAATTTGTGATTTTTTTTCTGCTTATTTAAGTGAAATATTGAGCAGAAAATGAAAGGTTTGTTTTCAGTTACTGCTTTGTTAAAAAACAAAACAAAACAAAACACAACACCAAAAAAAAAGTGTAGTCTAAGTCAGTTTTTCTCTTTCCTATGAGCTTTAGCAGGGAATATAAATTCTACAGAGTTTCAGCATTTTTTTACTGAAATTATCCAAGGATGTTCTCAAGAACATGTAAGCCTTTGGAAAAAACAGTTTGGAAAACTTAGTATCTCTGCTCAGCTTTTGATTATGAAAACAGCTAATACAGCGTTTTGAGGAATGTGAATGGTATGAGGTACTAAGATTAGGCAAATGGGAAACAACAATCACAGCATTTGTACCTCTCGGGATTTAGCAGAGAGTATCTGGAGGAAGCCTCTGCCCTTCAGAGGTGCTTCAAGCAGCCCCAGGGTGGACACTGGGAAGCGCAGCCTCGCTGACCAGGCAGCGAGCGGCAGCTAACGCGACCGCGAGGGCCTGCCAGCCCGCCGCACGCCGCCGTTCAGGAGACAACCGAGCCCCCCGGCCGGGGCAGCAGCCGAGCAGGGCCGGGCACGTGCGGGGCGGTCTGTCTGTGTGTCCCGGACCGGCCATTGGCCTGCCGCCGCTTCCCGCCTCCTTTGAAAGCTTGGGGAGGGCGGGCGGCCCCAGCACCTCGGCAGTCGGGCGGCAGGGGCGGGTCGGGTCGGGACGGGGCAGGACGGGAGCAGAGCGCCGGGCCGGAGCGGGAGGCCGCAGGTAATCCCTGGGCAGCCGGGGGGCGGCGGCGTGCTTCAGTCGGAAATGTCCCGCAGGAGGACCGAGGGCGGGTTGGGTTGACTTTCGTGAGTTTCACTGGGGTCTCGTTCCTCACGGGTTTTCTTCCAGAGTGGTAGCGTTCACCAGTCTCCTAAGTTTGGACAGTCAGCATAGCAGTGCTTGCTTTGGCAGCTTAGTGCTTTATAATAAGTAGTGTTCTTTGCATATTTATTTGGTTTCAGCTTCAACTGACTTGTTAAGGTAGGCTTGCTATCTAAGTAGCTGAGCTTGCGATTGTACTAGCAGTGATGATTTACTGATGGGTTTCTTAAGGCACTAACTTCTACAATACACAGTGGTGGATTCCCCAACACTGGGCACTTTTTGAGATGAACACCAGGCAGGGTGCTGCTAGGGTGCTAGTCTAGGTGATGCTTTATCATACTTTGGACCATATGATCCTTGAGGTCCCTTCCAACCTGGTGTTCTATGATTCTGTGACGCAATAGGTAGGGCAGTGCTTTTGAACTGTGGTGCTTATGAAGTAGTAATGGGAAAACTTGTCTTAGATTTTTTATTTTTTTTTTTGTAGTCTTTTGATCTACTTGATCAGTTGCCAAAAAATAGTGACACTGATGGTGTTAAAATGATTAGCTGGAGACAAAAAAAATTATGTAATCACTGAAATGCATCTAATTTTAAAATGGTGAAACTTATTTTTGTTGGGTGTTGTTAAGCATTTAGTAAGTGTATGCTGATGAAGAATCTCCTGTGAATTGATATTCTGTGTACGTTTGGCAGATCTCCTGTTTCCCCTTTGAAAGAATTTATTCTTTCATAATTGGATGGAAATAATAAATCATTCTGGAGTTACTCCATTAGTTTCAAGGTAGGAGTATCAACTAGCACCTTCTTAGATGTAATAGGGCTGCTGTGAGAACAAGTATATAGAAAGTAGCGTTAGGCCTGTATAAAGGTAGTTTGCAGGATTGCCATGATTGATACCCTACTTGAAGAAAGCAACAAAGAATTATGCAGGGTTATACTTATGGGGAAGTATGGGACACATAAGTATAAAACACCAATGTATGTTTTCATCTGTCCTTAACACAGCTGTTAATAGGGGCTACAAAGATGTGTGAGCTCATTAGAACATGTGTGCTCATACAGTTCATTAGTTCTGAAACTACTTAAGCTGAGCACAGATACATGGTTCTTCCCTATCAGATTTCTGCATAGATGTCTGCTATGGCTTAACAAGCCATAAAAGCACAAGTAGATTTTTTTTTTTTTTGTACTACTGTTTACTCTGTCTATAAACTGTAAAGTCAGCCTGAACCAGAAACTCCCATATGGTTCTTGCTTTCTCTCCTCCCCCTGCCAAACCTCATCTTGCAGGTTCAGTTCTGTCCCATGGCAGAACTAAGCAGGATTCTGCTGGTAGCTGACTTTGAAAACTGCTTGGGTGTCTCTTTGGAAATAGTCAGAATTTTAATGCACAGGCTGGCTGTGCGTGTTTATAGAATTACTGTTTCCAGTAATATTCCAGCTGAAAAGGGGAAAAAATAAACAGTAATGAAAAAGATGCTGGGTTTATTCCAGTTGAAAGGAACAGTACTTCTTTTCCTCTCAAAACTTTTCTCCTTCACTTCTGTCTACCTCCCCAGGAGGTGAGAATGTGATTTGTGTGCTAGTCTCACCATGGAATTTTGTGTGTGTGTGAGAGTTTTCTTTTTTCTCATAAACTAATCATTCTGCAAGTCTTAAATTCTTTCATAATTCCTGTCTGAAAAGGACCTTGTGAAGTTAATCTAGTTTAATGCTTGAGACAGGTGCTGCTGTGACTTCACAAATATGCCACTTGCTCTCAAAAGTTTGTTGCTATGCAAGACTTACAAACATTAGTTACCAAATTGGTTGCAGACCATCTCCGCAAGCTGCTTTTCACAGATGCACCTCTGAGGTCAACTGGAGCTCTGTGCCCAAGTTCTACACTTCAGCAGGTCACCTGTGAGGATGAGCTTGTGGCGTTGGATGTCAAGTCTAGCCTTGAACAGTGAGCTAGTATTTTGCTCCCTCAAATGTAGTGGCTTCAAAGAATAATACTTACAAACTGTTTAAGGTGACTGTTGAATCTAGATAATTTAGGAGAATGTCAGTAATTTTTCCCTTCTTTCATTTTAACCTTCAATTTTTTTTCTTCATTATAAAGGGAGTGTATTTACCATTTACTATATGTGTTTGCATGTAGATACGGGTTTTTTTTCCATTCTCTTCACTATTTCTACCCTTGAACTGTCATTGTGTCAGCTATTATCTTCTTTGTATAGCATCCTCAAGTAAATCCCACATAACTTGCATGTAACTAAGTGTATGCAATTTGAGTATGTTCATGGGTCTCTGTATCAGTTAAAAGCAAACACCCTGCCCATGGACCCGCTGGGGTTTTTTGGGTGTTTTCTTTTTTCATTAAAGGATTACCCAGCTATAGGAATTGGGGGACAGGTGGTGAGGAGTGTTGTGAGGTTCCAACAGACTCCTTTGATTCAGCACTACAGGTGCGTGAGCTGCTCCTGCTACTCACAAAGCCGCAGGAGCAGCAGTGCTCTGAATGAGTTTTATATCTGGTTATAAAACGCTGTTGCTGTTAAGCCTGCAGGAGGGAAAACCTGGCATCCTATGTATACCGGCTGTCTGCCCGTCCCACGGACCTCTGAGAGTGCAGAAAATGTTTCCACCCTGTGCTGGAATAGAGCAGATTTACCCTTCCCTCCCCCCATGCTTTTGTGGGCAGAAACAAAGTGTGAGCAACCGCAGCAGAATAGCCAATAGCTGGGCTAAGGGGGTTTTCCAGGGACGTGACAAACACCGCTCAGGCGCTGCCCGTGGCGGCAGGGCCGTGACGCCGTGCGGGGGGCAGGTGCGGGCCGGCAGGGCCAGCTCCGAGCCTTCGCTCTGTGTGCGGGAGCCGACACCTCATTAGCCCCCCTTCCCCCGCCGATCACGTGCTTGTTACGCTGGAAGACTCCCAACACAATCTGGTTGCTTCGTGATGATGGGGAGCTTTTAATTAGGGAGGGAGGAAAACCGTACCCTTATACCCTCGAAGCCCGATGCAAACAGCAGAGGTTTCGGTGGCTATTCCTGCATTTGAGGACAAGGTTCGGGAACTTGAATCCCCCTGCCAAACAGGGAAGCCTTCCCCTGCTCGGGGCTGGCTGCGGCCCCGGACACCTCTTCCGCTGCAGGAACCGTGCTTCTGACGCCGAGCTGGCCCCAGGAAGGCAGCTGTTATCTCTTCACCAGCGCTTTACGGGCGCAGTATTCGTGTCTGTATCCCGTTTGGCGAGCTGGCTTAACCCTTTCCCCGCGGCAGAGGCGACCAGCCGCGCCCCAAGGGACAAACATCTGTGGTTGAGGAGGAGGCGGCGGCTGTAGGCACGGCAGAGGGGATCCGGGCAGGGAGGGGAGGGGAGGCCCTGAAGGGGCACCAGCATCTCCGCATCTGCCAAGACCTCGCGTTCCCCGGAGGCGGTGCCGTTCCCGGCGCGGTTAAGGCGGCTCGGCAGCGCCGGGAGGAGGCTGGCGGCGAGCAGAGTGCGCGCGCAGAGCGGGGAGCGGGCGGGCCCGCGCCTCGTTGGCAGCCGGCACCTCTCCCGTCGGGCGGGCGGGGCCTGGGTCCCGGTGCGGGCCCCGGCCCCGGTGCCGCCGGTTTCTCTAGCCCTGCCCGTGACTGGCAGCAGCGCCGGGGTGAGTCACGGCTTGGAAATGGAGTGGGCGGGTGCGCGTGCAGGAGAATGAATGATGTCAGGGCGGAGCGCGGCTCGCGCGGCCAGCATGAGGCAGTAAACACGGCAGCGCAGAGCGAGCGGGGGCCCCCGCGCCCCCCGCCCCGGAGCGCCGCTGTTGAGAGAGACCTCTGCGGGGAGTGTCGCCGCCGCTGACGCCCTTAACGGCAGTCCCCTTCGCCAGGAAGAGGAGTCAGAGAGGAGCCAGCACAGGGCAGGGGAAGGTAGAGATTGTGGCAAACTTTCTAGCTGCTTCTGCGTGCTGCTACCTCAGCGGTGGGAGTGTCTGGCCATAAGGAACTGCAAAGCCCAAGCCCTGAGGCTCCAGAAACGATTTTCAGCTGTCTTTAGAGGAGGAACTGCCAGCAGTGCAAGCTTTTGTGTGTACAGCTGAGAAGGTAAGTTGGGAACGGCACAGGTGGATTAAACGGCACTGCGTACCACAGGTGCGCACCTAGAGAACCTGCTTCAGAGAAGACCTCTACGTGAGAACTGGGCAGAGGCTGGGAAGAGCAGTCCTACGTTTGCGTTCTCTTCCGTTTCTGAAGTATGTTTTACCTGTAAAATAGTCTCAATTCTACTCTTGAAGAGACCCTTTTAAATAAGGAGGGCACCTGCTGTTTTGATTTCCCTTGCAAATACGTAAAGTGTGGAACATACTTAGCTTGCTTGTGAGGTGTATGCTTAGTATGCTCGTGAGGTGGGTAGTGTGTGCGTAGATAGCACTTAGAGCACTACAGCGTGCTTAGCTGAACAGGAGGGGACTTCAAAATGCTTTATTTTTAGCTCAGGAAGTTAAAGGGTTACTGTAAGGGTCGTAATGGTGTTGTAAAGGTGCGTTGCTATACGGTTTGTTTGGGGATTGTTTTGTTGCTGTATGTCTGCTGCGTTGAAGCAACTCCTAAACTTCCTGAAGCACAGCTGAACTGAACTTCTTGACTTAGTGACAGTGTTTTTCTATTAACATGCATGATTTCTGGTATAATTTTAGCTCAAAATCCTTGTGAAAAGTAGTTAATGATTAATTTTCTGGCAAGATAATAAAATTCCTGCAATATAGTGTAGACTATTTGTTGTTTAATGTATTTCTGTTTTTTTTTTTGATCTTTTTTTTTTCTTAAGGCCTTAGAAAAATCAAATACCTACCTATCCTCTAACCACTTAATGGCTGTTAATTTATACTCAATTATATAGGTGAATGGTTCTATAGTGGTATTAGCTAAAATGGAGCAGGTGCATGGTATTTTCTGAGACAGTGGGCCTTACAAGAGTTTTGGCAAGCTTCAAGTTGCATTTCTTAAATGGTTTGTCTAAAACCAAACTGCTTTAAAATCATATCTGATGTAGTTGCTTTTGTGTATCTTTATTTGACAGGGCAGGTTTTTGGAGACTGTATAACCTTATATACTTAATCCTTGTGAAAGCAATAACTTCCTTATTTTAGTGTAACTTAAATGACCTAGGGCTTAATTTACTAGAAAGGTCAGTGTGCTTACTTCCATTCTTATTTTTCTTTTGGGTAGAATTTACAGTGCTTTTCTGTAAAAACTGATTTTAGAGAAGCATACCCTTTTGTCCTTCAGGAAAATATTCAAGTGTACCCTATGTAGTAAGTGCAGTCACAAGGGGTATTTGGACAAATCAAAATGGTGGTGGTGGGGAAAGTTCAGGTGAAATCGTGAGCTGATGACAATATTATGTTGATAAAGGCCCAAAATAAGATTGATTTCAGAACTGTCCTTGAAGTTAACTTATATAATGGAGAAATGAGAACTTGAAGAGAGCAAAGGTGGAATTTTATTATTTATTACTCTACTGTTAAGTTGGTTATCTGAATCTAGAATGAGTTGTATGTGCCCCTAAATTCTAAGTACTGAGCCATGGTTGATATATTGATGAGCGTCTATTTTCCTGGATCATAAAAGCATCTTTTGATTCTAATACTGTAAGACACACAAATAAATGGTAGGGCTTAACAGCCGTGTTTTCATGAAGTTTTCTTCTGAACTCAAAACTTTGTGTTCCGTGTAGTCATCAAAAGTATTATATCATGGAAGCAGTATTGTGAAAACTTCATGTTTCCTTTTCACTAAAAAGTTAAAAACAAGCCCCCATCCCCATATACCTCCCTGTCTCTGGGAGAGCTGAATACGAGACTTAAGTATTTTTTTATTCTGAAAATCAGAGAATTCTTTATTTACAGTGTACTAGTGTACCAAATACAAGTATGAAGTCTGGAAAATGGTGTATTGATTTTTAAGGATTAATAAAATTAAAAAATAATATCAAAACGATGGATTTAAAAAAGGAGTAGTTTTTCTTAAGGATCAGGGAATGTGAAATAAGATTTTTGAGTAAATGTCTCATCACATGTAAGTTTCTTAGTATAAAAGTGGACTTTGAAAACGCAGGTATTTGTAACAAAACAGCATACATCATCTTCTGTTTGAAATGTTTTCTAATTTTGATGGACTGTTGGCCTGCAGTGTTCTTTGATACTATTTTTGGGGAGTGGACAATACAGATGCTGTGACATTTTATTTAGTATGGGTATGGTATTGCAGTAGTCTGAACAGATGCTGGGAAGATTAATGTAACACTAGGTCCACTGTCTTCAGAGGTCTCTGTCTGCTGGGAGAATTGTTTGTACCATGGACACCACTGTCTCCAAAGATGCTGCAGACACTAAGAATGTCAGGCATTCAGGCACCACTGTCCCAGCAGATGCTGAAGACTTCAAGAGCTGCTGATGGGGGAAGTTTTATGGAACAGAGATAGCTCTGTCTTGTCTATTCTGCACCAGTTTGAAAGATATTTCTGAACTATACTGAATCTGATTGTGCTAGTGTGGCTGTAGAGCTTTACTAGCTGCAAGTGTCTTCTTTATGAGGAGGCTTGCTTATCACTGTCTACCTCAGAAGAGCTCTTGCATGGAGATACGTGTATGTAGAAAGAATAAAGTGCTTCTTACAAAATAATTATTAAAACTGTGTACTAGAACTATGCTTCAGGAAAACCTGTTACTTTAGCGAATGTATATGTAGTATCTGTAATAGAAGGGGCCTGCTGTGCCTTGAGGTCATGCTTGTGGCTGCTGAGTACAACTTCTGCCTTAGTGTGTTAAGTCCTTTTCAAAATGTGTGGTGTTCAAGTATGGGTGGTCTTGTTCTTTGTAGTCTGGCATTAGAAAATATTGAAGTCTAGTCTGTTGAATGAGTGGAGAAACTAAAATAGTTTGTCAGAGAATCTGAACCTGTTGAGTTAATCCTTGCAAAATAGAATGGTCCTTAACAAAATTTTCAGGTCTAAATCCTTGAATAAAATAATTCTTGAACTTAATTACTCAGGAAAACTTCACTGCATTCACTCTGATGAGACAGTTTTATAGTAACAAAGCACATATTAAATTCAGCTTTAATTTTCCAGATAAAATACTTTTTTCTCAGATGTGTAACCCTAGAAAAGGAGAACGTCTTGTTCACTTGAAGGTACCTGACCAAAACAGCAGGTATCTTGCTTTCACTTACCTTCTTCAGTTTATGTAGGTTAACTTGCAACTGCCATATTTAAGTTTCAAGGACATCACACTTCTGGGTTGGTTTTTTGTTTTGTTTTTATAAGCTTCATAAACCAAAACTAACTTTCTGCTATCAGTGGAATTGTGAGGCTTTCAAAAGATGGGCTTTGGTGCTGCACCTGGTTTTTAGAACTGATTTATTGCTGCTCCCTTCTGTAGTCCTCTGTTTCTTTGTATATTCAGATTTCCTTAGACTGAATCTTACTAGAAACCTGTGCAGTTCTGTAAGCTTCACACTAAGATTTGCAGTGGTTTTGTGCATCTGTGGTTACTGATGGAAAGCAAACTAGGGTTGTACACCGGCTTTTTCTTCAGGAAAGATGCTGAGTCTTTTGAGTGCAGTGCTAAATGCTTTGAAAAGTTGCATCAGGTTAATCTGGGTGATTTAAGATGAACTGGTGGAGAGCATTTCTGGACACTTTTTGCTTAAGAATGGCTAACTTTAAAAAGTTAATTCAGGGCTATTTTTGGTATAGCAGTAATCTGGAATCTTAAATGGAGTGTGTAGAGTTGAATTCAATTTCTTAGATAGGATGCAGGCATGTCATGGCTGAAACTTAATAGTTTGGGGTACAAATAATGATTATCTATCTGCAGTTATAGTTACATTACTTCGATGGTGAAAGAGATGGACATCCTGAAACAACTTGAAAAGACTGAACAAAACAAAGCTAAATATATGTAAGCTGTTCATTCTAATCCCCCATCTGAGAGTTTACAGACTGCTTGCAGTGTTTTTTAATCACTGATTTTCAGAAGCTCTCCAGGCAGTTAGTAATGTTCTTAGTGAAGTATGATGTTTCAGTGGCAAGTTTACCTGGTTTTTGGTCATAAATTATGTCCCATATGAAGTTATGCTTTTCTGATATCTTAGGCCCTGGTCAGTCTTGCTACTACCATGAAGTCAAATGTTCACAGATGAAGTTTTAAGTACTAATATGGGTTAAATCATACTAGTATTCAGTTTTTATCTTCATGCAAGTTCGTATGGCAGACTGTCACTGTGAGCTAGCAAAAGTTACTGGAGTTTGCATTTCTAAAAGTGCAAGTTGTGGGAAGTTTTTGTTCTTGTTTAATCATAGATCTCTGGTGTTAATGTTTCTAATACTGGTACCTTAATTTGGTTGGTTGGTTTTTCTTTTTAAAATCTTGGTTATCTGTAAAATAAGTGGGAATTTTTAACTCTGTCAAAGTGCAGGAATCTGTTCATCCTCAAAGAACAAACCTCTGGCAGCACCTGTCTAGATCCTTTAAGGATCCACCTGAATCCTTTTAAGACCTAGGTTAAAAGCCTTAAGGAAGAGATAAAGGTTTTCCGTTCTTAAGATGTTATTGCAAGGGTTTTGGCATATGTTACCTCCCCAGTATCTCTCTAATAGAACACTTGCATTTGTCAAAGTCCTTTATTAAGACGTCACCTGCTCTCACTGATTATTTTTTTTCTCATTAAATGTTTGCATTTCTTATTTTTTCTGGTTTTTATAGCTTTTATGTCACCTCCTAAGATTTTTAAACTGTTGAGCAATGAACGACTTCTCACAATTAGTTTGTTATGTGAAATGTATGCAACAGTGACAAAATATTTACTTACGCACACACCCAAGCTCCTGCTTATGTTTGCTCTAGTGCTAGACAGTTGGTTAGTGGAGCAGACCAAAATACGGAGACAGTCTCCTTGTTTAGGTGGCATATTTTTTAAAGGGAAACAGCAGTAGAGAAAGTCATGCCTCACAGTTGGTAATTCTGTCTTTCATATAGAAGGCATGATGTAATCCTATAGCTTGAGAGCTCTAATACATTTCTACAGTAAATACAGCTCATCTCTCTTTTTTCTTTTTATTTTTTTTATTTCCCCACATCAACCTTGTAAATGGGCAATGGCACTTGCTATTTGTAGAAGCTTTATAAGTGTGCCAAATACCACTGCCCAGGTCTTGGTTTGAAACTGAATACAGACTGTATTGAAGCAG